TGTTTGAAGTGAAACTCTAAGCTGTTTTGTTCTGCTGCTTCTGCTAACGCTGCAGTTCAGCTTTTCACCAGCAGGCTATCCACAGCCAATACTTTAAAGCGTTTGGAAGCATTTGGTTGTCATCACTACACGACACCAGTAAAACACATTGTTGACTTACTGTGTACACACTGTTTGAAGATATTGCTAACCCCTGGACATAGGAACACAGCTTAACCTCTCACACTAAGGTGGCATATTTGAAACATATTAAAGCTCTGAACACTGCTTGAGGTTTTTGGTGGAGATATTCACTCAGTAACTGACTACCATGAACCTGCTTCTTCCCACGCGTCTGCTGTTTTCTCCTCCATCGGTCAAGGTGTAATGGTGGAATACAAGTTTACCAACTCCTCCATACTCTCTTCTTCCTGCACCAGGATAATTTTTGTCACTGGTGCACTTTCTTCTGAGTCGAGTAACACTTTTTCATCTGTATTTGGTATGTCTGCTCTCTTTTTGGACTCTGCCTCCTTAAACAATGGGCATTCCAGTATTATAGTATTATTTTGTCTAGCAATATACAGTATATATTGTGTGGTCTCATACAACAGAGACCTCATATTTTTTTCTAAATAAGACCATAAGTCACTATATCTGGTTGTATGCATTGTTGTCATTGAATTTCTAAGTGTATCATATACACCATCTTGTGCATTGAATAGTGTCGAGAAAAAGACATATCATCCCTCCCTACTCATCGCTAGTCTCGTTCAGCAGCACCAGTTGAATGAAGTTAAAGAGCTAAATGTTTTTGATGCACTCTGGGAGTGTAAGAGGCAGCTCATAATTTGGGTGAGACAAGTGGAACAGCGCCCTCCGTTCATCCCTGTTCCTCCACGATGATCCATGCTTTTGGTCATATGTTTCTGAAGAACATTCAACACCAACAATCACTGTAGGTGTCTCATCATCAATATCGGATTTCTGTTAGTGCAGTGATACCCCCTGTAGAAGGCAGAGAATATGGGGTACACCACTCACTTAGCAGAAGAGATCCACATTAAAAGATGACAACTGCAGTTCCCCCAACAACAAGAAAAGTGTACCCACCTTTGCCTATCATAGCAGGCAGGCTTGACTGGTGCAAATTCACTTCTTAAAGACTTTGACAGAAAGACTGTTCTTACTTCTTCCTACAAAATTCTAAACAAGCCAACTTTCAAAATCATCAGCTGAAAAGGGCCGTTTCATTTTTCTGATTGACTGTGGAATGTCATTTAGTTCAAATTCAGGTATTTTGACTTATATTGAACTTACCGAATGTCAGGATATGAAAAGAAAAGTGAAAGGAGAAAATGGCCTTGTCACCGTTTGCATTATAATTTTGGATGCAAATTATGCAAAACCAGTTAGTAGCAGCAGTGGTACTGAGACGAGACAAGACAAGTGAACACAATAGCAGACACTGAAGCAAAGAAAACAAAAACTTGACATACTGTATGTGGGAACACAAAGACAATACTCTCAAGGCTGGAATGGAAACTAAACAACAAGGCACTTAGGTCTCTAACAGTGTGCAAACAAAAACACAAAGAAACCATGAAATAGAATACAAAAACAAATTCACCAAGACCAGCACTTAACAGAATATTAAGAGTACACACTTTTACTAAGCAACCACTTGATGAAAAGAATCTTCCTTTAAAGAGGAAGGCTTGACAAACTATTCTTCACATAGTGTACATTAAAAAACAAACAATCAAAACCCAGGACCATCAGGAAAACACTCAAGTGCACAGGGAGAGCAAATATAAAAGCTCTTCCTTTATGAACATGAAGCTGCTGACTAGAGAACCAGGAGAAGGAAGCAAAGCTGGTGGCCTAGATACCAAGTCACTTGATTATGCTGATGGTAAGCAGTGTAACAAGAACTGGAAATGAGGGTAGTAAAGCTGAAACAAACATAAGAGCAGTGGTATATCAAAATAAAAGCCTGAGAAAGAGGGTGGCATATCAAAATAAAAGCCTGAGAAAGAGGAAGCTAAGTGAATCATGGCAGGCGTCGCTGCAGTCAGTGGTCACACTTGTCCATAATCATCCAATTACAGTGGAAGAAAATGTTAAACAGAGAAAACTGTTGTGTTTGGCTTCAGATGATTCAGCTAGTCCGCACAACTTACCCCCTGCTGAGGAGGTGATATCTTCAGTGAAATACAACCAGATGACAGGAATGAGAAAGTAGCTGTTGTTTCCTTTGTGCTAAAACAAGCCCAAACCAGCTGGGTTCATTAGCCAGTCAGAGGAAGCTGGTAAAGCACTGATGTCCAGGCTAAAAATCAATGTCTGTAGTTACTTGTTGAAATAAAACCACATTCTGGGTAATGGTGTATGTAGATACTATGACAGCAGACTCTGTTGCAAGTTGCCTGCATTTACGCATCAACATTTTGATTTCAGGAAATAATCAAAGCAAGACATCACAAAAAAATCTCCACTAAACTGCTGGTTACTGTTCATATTCTTCTAAAGTAAGATCCCACATGCTGTACACAAAATACAGTACTCTACCTCTGTTAAGTTTTGAGTCAGAGTACTCCTCTGTTAACATCAGTTCTGCTTCTGTATGTCAGTGTTTGGTGATGGTAAGTTTGGCTGGATCTTTCTTATTGGTGTTTATTGGCTTTAAGAAATGAATAAACAGACTTGTCAGGTGAATCAAGAGCTGAAATGGAAAACGGCTGTGTGAGAAAACAAAAGTGTTCTTTGTGTGTCATTGTGTTTGCTTTTGTAACAGAATCCTCTGGAGGTGTTTATGATGTGGTGCGTGTGTGTCTACTCAAAGTGTAAAAACAGTGCAGACTGAGAAGGACTTTAAATACGTGTGTGTTGATCTATAATAGTGGTGAAAATGTGTATTGAGATTTCTGTGCCTAGTGACTGGATATGTATGTGTGTGTGCAGGAGAGTGTGTGTATTAGTCTTGGCAGTATCAGCTGCTCCTGGCTGCTGCTATCACCCTGCACGAAGTCGCATTAAACTTGGGTCATATTAGGGTCAAAGCTCACAGAAATATGATTACAGGGGATGAGCACAGCAAGACGAAACAGAAGCAGAGAGAAGTGTTATGAAGCTCAGCCTTATTCTCTGGCGCTACATCATAAAACATTTACTGGAATTCCTAAGCCATTCATGAAAGCTAGGCTAGATGTTTTATGTTTGTGTGGTTTTGTTGTAACCCAGAAGAAGTGGGTTGAACATGGCACGGAGAGTTACATGTAACACTAACATTCTCAATCCCCCCCCAAAAAAAACAAACAAACAAAAAAAGATTCCCAGTAGCTGGTAGAGATGAACCATTAAAATACATACAAAGATGAAAAATGTTACTTCTCCCCTTGTCACTACTACATATCTTAGAACTTAAAATCGGTTACATCAGATCACTTATTTGAACTGTCAAAAGCAAAGTCACAAAGGGAACTGGACTGGTTAACAGTTTCAATGTGATGGTACAATGAGCCCACAGTACACCTGAGTAAGAATGTGCACAGTGGGTGAATAAAATGTGTAATGCTGACTGGTTTGTTTTCACAGGAGCTCCTCTAACACAACATTAAATACACACACAGGGTCATTTAGCCTTCTAACCCGTCTGATTAGTTACTGTTACTGCAGTCATACACCCACTGTCTTCAAATACTGTAACAAGACAAAGTTAGTGTTCTTGGAAAGTGGTTCGTTAAACTCAGTCTGGGAAACCAACCTCAGCTGTTTACATCTGCGTCTTTCCTGCCTCTCCCTCTCTGTGGCTCTCTCTCCACTTTGGGTAAATTACAAATGTCAGACCTATAGAGCCGAGCAACGGGAAAGGAAATCTGGCAGTGTATTTATTTAAAGCTTGTTTTCTTGTCACTTTACCAAACTATGTCCCAAAAATCTGATTTGTAAAAAAGTTTTATAGGGAAGAGAATACATTCATTGTGTTTCTTGATCTCGGGAATACACACAATGTGTACTGTAATAAACACTGAAAACATGTTCTCTGTTTATAATACAACTCCACCGGGCAGTGAAACATTTCATCTTCTCTAGTTGTTCATTTTCCTGTTTTTGAATGATGTGTGTGTATATAAATGTGTACATAAATCATTTTTTAGTATTTTTCTTACAGCAAAGACCTTTCCTCCTTTTGAACTTGATTACAGAAATACATCAAATGTGCTTTGGGGTGACTAGCAAACACCAGCAATCATTTAACACTGCACTTTATTAGCAATTGAATAGCTAATGTAGCTGTCTGCTTGGATTTACTGTGGAAAAACCTTCTCCCTACATTTTCAAAGAATGTGGTTGAGGTCTAATTTATTCATTTAAGCTTCATCTTTGTCTTCCTGATTTAAAAACAAGGGTGAGGAAGGTGTTGATACATTATTTGTTCTCATGGTATCAAAAAAGGCATGGCTAAAAAAATCTCATGACCCCAAAAGCACTTTGACATGATGTGGGTTGCCCTTTGTGAAGTATACAGCACAAACTGTAGAGCAGAATCAATGTAGGTAACTATAATTTTTTGGAGATCTTACAAATGATTTGTTTCTGGACTCCCGCTGCAAAGACAAACTCTGGAACTACATTAAGTATGCAAAATATGATGTTGGTATGTTATGTTGAACAGGTACAAAGTGTTTCTGAACCACCCTAGGGGAGTTCCCCAAGACTCAAAACTAGGTCCCATAACAATGTGCATATAGCAACAGTTATCAACTATTAAGACAGTTTTACCATAAACTTAATCCACTGATGTGGTGGTAGCTGACACATGCATTATTGATCATTGTCCCATTAAAAAAGCTAGCTACCTCAGACTTAGAGATATTTTAATTCTTAATTTAGGCAAGGGAAAACCTTTCCATCATACTCTGAAAAGCAGCAGGCAGCAATTATTAGAACCCAACTCAGATACTAATAAAGAGCAGACTGTATCACCACAAGTCAACTAAAAACAAACAAAACATTTATAAGACAAACACCAGATTATGTGTTGTATTTTATTTAAATTACATTAATATTTTTCAATGTTCACCAATTATCACAAGTCTGAATACAAAGACTGTCATTTGTCCAAGTGGAGTGCTGTTGAGAAGCAAACCATTTTATATGTTGCATCAAGTTTCCGTATCATCACATCACATCATAACTTCTTTTTGATAGTATTTGTGTTAATGTGTGACAACTATTTTAGTTGCTTCTCTTGCCAAACAACCAGTATTTTGTGTTTTTGCATTCTCGTGAACACAGATCTTTTAAAACCCATGCCCACACCATTTGTTATTTAAACTTTTTTTACTTCAATGAAAAACAGCACAAATAATCATTTATGAAGTTTTCACTATGACAAAAAGTAACAATTTAAGGTATTGTGGATAAGGGGTTATTCACCTTAAAATAATGCAGTATACACATGTTTGGGTACCTTAGAGATTCCCTGTATTATCAAGAAATAAAATATGAAATGTGAGACTACAAAAACACACCAAACCAAAATGTGTTTGGGGTGGGGCTGAACACTAAGTGCTTCTGTCACTGTTAAATGCACACTTCACTGTCAGATTTATACATCTGAGGGCCAGGGTTAAATTATTAATGGGAATTTGTTGCTAAGCAGTCAGTGGAATGCTTTCAGTTCATATTTCTCTGCGACTTTCGCAACATTCTTGTAGTATCAAAATGTCTTATGGTGGTAAGAAGTGTTTTTGCCTGAATTCACATGAAACACTCTGAAAAGCAGCAATGTTAGCTGTCTACAGACACCTTTGACCTCTTTCTAGTATTTGCTCATACAATGCCCAATCTCATGAGTCATGATTAATAATGTGACCAGAACCTATCAGACTTTAAAAAAAAAAAAAAGTAAAACCCAAGATTTCCATAATCCTAAAGAGGTTTTGGAAGCGGGAGCAGTGCAAATTCACCACCAGCATGGGTAAGAATTTCAGTATTTCATTGTTTTGACGTGTGTCAATGGCGTATCCTGTTTCGTTGACGTGTGTCATCGTGGGTTGACATGGCAGTATGCAGCCGGTGAGTGGGCTTGCACTGAAAGCAATGCCACTAGTGTGTGTTGCCCTTTAATAGTACTTCATATTGACCGTTGTTCAAAGTGAACCTCACACAGTGTATCATTTGCAATTAAACTGTACCCATCTTAAAGGTACACTACTTCATTCAGTATTACAACTCCAAATCTCAGGCATGGTAACCACAGAACTTAACAACTCGAGACAATGTCAAAGCTGCCAGGCTCATACAGTATCATCTTTACAGCCATGTGCGACAATACCACATGGTATTATACTTGGGGACTGTCCAGACAACCGCTACTAGCATGTGTAAATACCTAAGTGTCTAAGACAGTCATTAAGTCCATTTTAAAGGATAAACAGATTAGAGCATTAAAATTAGATTAGAACAATAACATTTATGCAAAAGACTCTTTACACCAACAGCACATTGCTGTGTCATCTTCCAAAGCCTGTTTTTAAAGCACTGAAAACAGTACCAGAGCTGTGATTTATTCACTGCTGAGGCAGCAAAGAGCCTGACAGAGAGAGGGAGAGTGAAGGAGAGAGAGAAACGAGAGCTGGTCTGTCATTCTGTCACTGGCCGGTCAGCGGTCAAGGCTGGCTGAAAAGTAACCAAGGCAGAAGAGATGAGAGGCCTGAATCAAGGGTCTTGTGAGGTGGAACCTAGTGTGACTTCCAGTAGTCTGGTGATTATGTCAGAGTGTGTGGGGTGAAAGGTCAAACCATCCACCTCCATAGCCAGGTGACCCGTTTTCCCACTTCGTATTCCAAAACGCACCAGAGTGGACAGGAAGGACTCTTCCTGGAGGACACAGAGTGTGTGTGTGTAAACAGCACTGCCACAGATAGGCAATACGTTGGAATCAAAGGAAGCAGTTCAATTTGAATGTCTTTAAAGCTGCAGTCATTGACTTTTTTGGCCACTTGGGGGCGCCAGGAATAAGGCAGGAAACAATGTTTACATTTCCTTTTCTGACGTTGTTAGGGTGAATGTGCTAGAAATCAGTCGTTTTACACATCCTGCAGAAACAATGGAACAATAGCATTAACTTGGAATGCTGTTTGTGGACACATGACACGGTTCTCCCTCCTTTTAGCTGATTTTTTTTGTTTCCACCTATGCCTGAGGAAAATTTCTGGCTCTGTAGCTGCTAAATGCTCCACTACTTTAACCAGCTACACCCTGACTTTGTCTGTCTGCTGCTAAAGAGGGAGTATACAGCAGGTACATCTGAGATATTTTGCTGCCTGGTCCATGAAATGAGGGATACAGTAGAGTTAGGTGATCTTTTTCTGTGGGGTTTGTCAGGGGTGACCCTTTCTGCACTAAACTTACAGTAGATATTTGTTCAAAAACTATTGTTTAGCACAGCTTTAAGCGACTCAGCTTTACTTACAAAACGCAGCCGGATGAACTATTTATTAAGTTTTTATCCTAACACTATATAAGCTACATATGAATTTTGTTTAAGCTTTAAAATCTGATTATGTAACTTGTGTGAAATTGGTTTCCTTTATTATGTAACTGTATTAATTTGCAGTGTTCTTGGTATTGCATACTGTACCGGTGCTATACCGAGAAAGATTAATTATCTTAAAAATCCAATATTAATTTTAGTACAGACATAGAGAACATGTGACAGGATCATTATGCACCAGTTGCAGCCTACTTTACTAACATGGTGTTAATTAAATAATAAATAATAAATAGAGAGAAAAGTGTAAGAGATCAAGTCTCCTCTGAAATTCAGTGTTCAAATAACCACATCTTGAATCATTTTCTGCTGAACATGACATACAGCTTTAAAACACACAAAAATAATTATTATATATACACAAAATGTTGCACCTGGCATTACTCACACTGTGGGGACACAAAGCTGTTTATACACTCCTACTGTGGGACTTGGCTTCCTTGTGGGGACCAGAAGCTGATCCCCACCACATAAATCACTGAATTTTATGATGACGACTTGGTTTAAGGTTAGGGTAAGGTTAACGTAAGGTTAATGTTAGGTCACCTTGTCCACAGACGGCAGGTTAGCAGTCCAGTCCTGCAGCTGTTCTCGGGCTGGTGTGTATTCCATTCCTAGGCCTTTCTTTAGGTACCGCTGATGTGAGGGGCAGGTGTGGAGCAGATGGAGCCCACAGGCCACAGCATATCCTCCCCAATTCGACACTCCTGCAGGAGGGAGGCACGGGGGTGTGAGTGTGAGAACAAACAGAAACCAAAGACACTGACTAGATGTTAGTATTAGCAGGTCTTGTTTGCAGTGTACCAATGGATGTACAGACACCTATCACTGGATTACTTTGGTGCTGAAGAAAACTTCTGAAACATATTTTTTAATATGGTTTTTAAGTGAATTTATGAGCATTTATTTGGAATGGACATTGGATATAATCATATCCCTGCAAAGTGTCCCACTGGATTCTATCAATATGTGTTCCATGTCTGCATGTTTAGATTTGTTATGACTGACAAGGAGGGAGTACAAGTTTTGACTCAAATTCTCTTCACACAATATCGGTGCCTCTTCTGAACTCTCCTGCACCTGCCTGGGGAGGCTGTTGGATTTCTGTTTTGGCTCTGTCCTGCAGAACATCCATGTCTACTACAGACCATATCCTGTAGTTTCACAAAGTTTAAAAACTTGTCTTTAATAGTGAGAAAATTACCAAAGATCACAGGGCATATTTTATCCCCCACCTCCCCCACAAAGTTCTGTCTGAAGGGGGCTTCAGTTACATTTTTAAACAAAGATTTAATCAAGAAATATTTGTGTATGTGAAGCTCAGTTTAAGTATTATGGATCCATCCAGTGGGGACAGTCACTACATGTTAAAAGCATATCGACTTGGTGTGCACACACCCATAGTAGCAGTAACAGAGGAGTCCTCAGTGTTGATTTTGTACAGTACAGCTAATACAGTGATTGTTAAGTCCATACCAGCAAAAAAAAAGCAGGAACATCACAGGCTATGAGACTCCCATTAGGCATCAGGCTCTTCACCTTCTCCTTCACTTTGCCCATACCCAATTCATTACCACCATCACCGATTCCTACAGAGGCAGAGAAGAATTTCTGCTCAGCTGTGTAAAGCTGTTTAGGGAAATAAGCTGAAAACCCTGCCCCTGAGCTTATCTCATGTCAAGTGCAGCAGGAGCACAGAGTTTCTGTCCAGGTGTTACTTCCTTACTGCAGATGCTGTATAAAGTTCTGACCATTCTGAGTCTTTGGGGCAACATTTTTAAAAAATATCAGGAACTTGTGTTTCGTAATTAGAAAACATGTCCCCCAGTGCAGCAGTGTGTTTCCCTGATGTGCTTTTAAGCAAGCAGTTTCACAGGCTGCACTATCCATTTTAAAACAGTATTCTGTAAATCACTGACTAGGTGTCTGGATTCAGTTTTGTGGTGTAGTAAAATATGTCTCAAGTGTGTAAACAAAGCTTTTCACTGTTAAAAGAGGTGTTAGAAGAGCTGTTTTATGCTTGGCAGGCTTTATAAATATGGTTGATTAATACTTAGAAACTCCATCCCTAATCTGCAGTAATAAGAAGGTTACATAAAGAAACTGTACCTACCTGTAGTGGTAATTCCAGGTATATCCTGGGCAGCAATAAACAAGTTATCAATGGGGTCCACCAGATGTTTGATATTTATTCCTCTCATGTTGTAGTAATTTCCATCCCCAGCACGTCCACTGCGCTCTATCGCCACAAGGTGGTCATACCTAGTTTTAAGCATGACAACAAATTGACATTCACACCCTTAAAGCTGAGAGACAGACTACATGACTAGTTTGCCTTTGTAAATGTACAGACTTAGTAAATAAGTTACATTTGAAGAGCATAATGTCTGGGTTGTAGCACCATACACACTAAAACAGCTGAAACAATAACTTCTTCAAACAAGCTTGACCATGTTTCAAGCCTGTTCCGCATTTCGTCTTCTCTTTGCTTGATTGAGTTAGTGATGTAAACTTGCCTACACTGAAATCATAAAATCATGGTCTGAAATAATGCTGATGGCCCGAACTGCACCAGACACTAAGACTGGTGTAATCATTAACAAATACCTGGGGCAGACCGCCGGCACAAATGAGCAACTGAGCACAAACTGATCTGGAAAATCAGTTCTGATATATAATACTTTTTAATAATAAGGCAAAAAGATTCTTTACTGTGTCCTCAGCTATATAAATAACACAGATCAGCCAACCTGGGCTTGCTCTGGTCTCCGTGGTGACACAGGAAGTGCAGAGCAGAGTCTGGCCCACTGTCTTCAAAAGTGATCAATGGGATTGCAGTTTTCAGCACACCTGAGGGTGGAATTGGAAAAGCTTTATATCTGAAAATTAAAAACAGATTACATTTCAAGAGCTGATGATAAACTGGACTGGCAACTCCTGGAGGCAGGGATGTCTTTCACAGCAGGTTCCAGAGATCTGAATTAAAACTTTGCCCCACCTGTCTTCACAGCTTCAGCAATGATGGCCTGGTTCATCTCCAAGGCTCTCCTGTCCGTCACCATTGTCACCTGTTTCCCGAGAGCCAAAAGCATGGTTGCTATAGCAATGGCTCCAGGTGGGCCATCTGTCTCATCAGGAGGGCTAAAGGGGAAACACACACACACTCACACAAAACAACTGGAGCAATGTTTTTAAGGGAATGATTTAAACCCACAGTAATGTGTGACACTGATTCCAGTTTCAGCTAATCTCACAGTTAGAGCTGTGCGTTTCCAGCTCTGCTTAGGGCTCTTTATGATGTCAAGCCATGTGAAACTCACTGTTGTTTCTCTGCTGCTGGCCACACATCTCACACTCCTCATCAGCTACATTCACCTATGGGCTTCATAGTGAACTGTGGAATACCTGTAGGATGAGTGTGAGTATACTTGTCTATGACATGGATCGGTATATGTGTAGGTACCTGTGCATGTAGTGCGTGGGGAAGCCAGTTGTTATGGCAACAGAGGAGGAGTGGGAGAGTGCCAGACAGGAGTGCAGAAGTTCATCCTGAACCAATAAAGCTCTGATCCCTCGCTGACCTGGTGGCACAAAGTGACAAGTTCACATCCACCTCCTGCCAACTTGGTGCTGACATCAAGACAGGGGAAGAGCAGCTTCGTGGCTAGTGCTGTGTAGTGTCTAAACTAATGCCACAGGGTGTTAGATACAGTATAAAAAATTGTGGGCTTCTTGATGATTGCTGACTGTCCTTTCCTTTTCTCTTAGCTTGACCTTTCTCTAAAAATGTAGCTAAATTCCCACTTAATTATTATGTTTGATGCATGCTTTTAGTCTGCTAATGAACATACTAATTCTGTTACATCGTGTCTGATGAATGCTCTGTTTTCTTGATGACGATTTGAACAATGTCAGGAGGTTTTGGTGACAGATATCCTGAAATATTTTCTTATCACACACCGATTGTTTTGAGCTGCATTCCACAGTGATATAAAGCAACGAGCGACATTCTGATTATTATCGTGTTTTAACTGATTTGGAAGCATTTATTCTTTTGTTACATTATAAGCACTTTAATTATTTTCTATCCCATTTCACACATTTGAGCATTTTTAAAGTTGACCTTGGCTTTGATAATTTTAGTCTTAACCAAATGCTTTCACATATTTAACCTGCTCATCATCACTTCTTCTAATTTGCTTTTTTTTTTTTATTACTGACAGCTGATAATTACTTGCTCATAATTTGCCTATGGCACAGATTTGATTTGAATTGAATTATGACTTGATGATATCTATGCTTAGTTTGATTATTTAAGGTTGGATTGATTGATTAGTTATTTTGACTTCCATAAATTAAATATTCATAGATTATGTATTATGATTCCGTATGGAATTTTGTACATTTGAATTACATGTATTCTCATATTTTTCTTATACCAAATGAATAAAATCATTGTGAATTCCTTTGGTTGGTTGTTTGCCTGGTTCACTTCTCCCATCAGCTGCTTATGACAGAGTTCAGTGGTCATCACCAAGTTTTTGGGTGAGAGATAGCTGGACTCCATCACACGTAATCACTTCTGTTATTTTTAACACATTATATTAGGATTTTCTGGGTTCTTATTTTACCAGTTAGCACAGATTTATAACACACAAACAGGTGTTTTATGATTAATTTTATTGTGTTTCTGCTTATGTGTTTCATATCCTACAAACTTTGGTAAAAACAGAAGCTATTCACTGGGCGCATCTGCTAGTGTGAGCCATGTTTCACAAAAAAGGGATCTCAGAAGAATTAGTATGAAGAATTCTTGATTTGCATAAAGCTGAATTGCTCGCAAAGTAAGTAAGTAACACTGCATGGGCACATTGTTTACAGGAAAACTCCACAGTACCTCTTAATGAATTTGAAAGGGGTATATTCATGAATTAAATCCTACATAACCCTCAAACTTTGTTTTTGGCTATAAGCAACAAATTATCATTGAAGCAATAATCTGAATCTCTGTAGCCTACATGGTTTAACATTTATGCTCACTGGCTCATGTTGGCTCTGCTGTGCAGCAGAGGTGGCAGAATATGTAAAGAAGTTCATGATGCTATAACTACCTCCTTGTGGTCTGAGACTGTATAAAAACCATCCAGAAAGCTGCCCCCACTTTTTATTTTTATGAGGAATATTGAACACCTGGTAACTGAAGGAATTATTACATTATTTTTATGTATGTTTACCTGGGTCCTCTCCAATAATCATCTCCAACTCTCTGATCCTTGCCACTGCCTTCTGAGATGCCAGGCTGTACAACAAGGGATTGTGGGATACCAGGAAACAGATGGGGATCAGCTCTGAATTGGGTTTGGTGTACGGAGAGGCCGCGCTCTCAGAGGAACAGGTTATAGGAACAGAGGAATCTGGGATGTCTGTCAGGAACATACAGCCTGGCGAGTGACTGAAAGCCAAAGCAGGCTCTGAAAAATACAGTTAATGAACTTAGTATCACAGATTGAATTCAAGACCAATGTGAATTCAGTGGTGAGTGATTGTCTTTCTACTTGGCTCCATTTTTAACACATCATGGCTTTATTAACAATGCTGCTCTGTTTTGGGCTTTTTTCTGAGCCTACATGGCCGTTGCCTGATGATACTGTTGTGTATTTGGGTTTCGTGTTCAATAGTCATCTGAAATTGTGATGCTGCCGTCTTGGAGAAGAGGTTTCTAATATCCATGGGATTTTATGTTACAAGCTACATTATGAAGTTACTGTGCTGGTTATAAGGAGAATGCGACTCGAGTCAATCATATTGCTCACTGCTGCTGAGTATTGCCTCTATAGCAGTTACTCCACAGGCCCAGAAGACTGTAACATCACCAGGCTGTAGCTCTACTCGCTCCCCATAGTCTGGTCTGGATAGGTCCTGTATGCCTAAGAGAGCTACAAGCACACAAAGTGTAAACAAAAATTCATGGTGAAGTTTTTATTGAACTGGTGAGTTCGAGTTATTAATCCTAGATACGTGTGAGTGTATACCTGGGTCTCCTATGTGTACAGGAGCTCCATGTGCTAGTGGGTTAAGATCAGTGACCTCCACTGCTGCATTCAGCATACCAGCTGGAATAGGACGCATAGTGACCACTAGAGGACAGCTGAACACTCCGACAGGAATACAGGGAACTGCAGTCTGGACACACACACACAAGTGTACAGTGGCCTCAGTAAAGTCACTGAGGTGCTGATCACCAAAAACTATGAAGCCAAAGATGTAACAACGGTTCTGTGGTCTATAAGAGTTCACTGTGGGTTCACATCATTGCCAAAAAAAAAAGACATCCACTCTAGACTCAGATTAGTCACATGCATTTATAATGTGCTTTAGGAAAAACTGGTATGCATTCATGTTTTGTTTAAACAAACCATTTTTTCCATTTCTGCTTTTATAGCTGTTTCCAATGTCATATGAAGCCCAAAACAAAGAAATCATTTTAAATTATACCTAGAATTCTTCATGTTTTCAGACATTTGACCAAATGCTAAACTGAGAAAATAACTGGCAGGCAACAAACAATTAAATTAATCTTTAGTTGCAGCTCTAATGTGAACCTCCACAAAAAAAAAACAAAAAAACAAAACAAACAAACCTGCAAACAGTAGAATTTCCTGCAACAAAGCTGTTACGCACAGCGGTGGTGTGACACACAATGTTGACAGGTGTGTCCAAAAGCCAAGCAGTGCTTAAATGGTTCATGGTAGACCAACAACATTCATGAGTGTGAAAAGAGCTTGTGTGCATTTATTTTTATTTCTGTGAAGCATGCAGGAGCGTTAGAACACGAAACCCATTAGTGGCATCTTTGTTCTTTTTATTACAACTGCACATCACAGAAGAGGAGATGACAGTGTGAGGAAGAGGCTATAGTTCATCTCCACTAGGGCCATTATTTTAGTAAACATGGAGGACCTTTATATACTGTATCTATGTTTCATACCCTATACATGCTGATGTTTCTGCCCTGCTCCACATTCCTGACAGGGACTCCAGCTTTCTTCAATCTGCTCTCAAAGCCAAAACTGCAGCCCAGATAGAAACACACCATGTCTGACCACTGATGGCTATGGTGCACAGCCTCCTGCCCTGATGTTGTCCTGAGAGCACAATAAAAAGCACAAGTGAGGCTGGTAGGATCACAAAGGTGTGATTTTCTTCAATTCGCTTGGGATGTTATTCTTGTAATGAAAAACTACTATTCAGTAAAGAGCACAGGAAAAATAGAAACAGACTAGATGGTAGTGCAGAGTTAGACATGACAGGATTTCCACTATGAATCAGTGAAACATGGCTAACCTGGCAGGAGCGCCCTTTGGTAAAAATATGTACCTAATCTTCTTGAATCCCAGCTGTCTGTGCAGTTTCCTGTGCTACAATACTACACAAGTGTGCGGTGTTGTAAGATGAATTAAGCAACATGCAAGATCCAAATTGTGAAATCTTTCAATACCAGCACTAATACAGTCTTGATACCCAGCTCGCAGGCCTATGGACATTCTCCAAGTTTCTTGGATCTGCTCTTGGGTTGTTTGCTCATTTACTAAATTAATCAAAAATTCAACCAAACCCTCATTCTTAATCATCAGATGTGGAACCATGAGTATATGTGATATTCTTAAATATAACAGAAAGCTCCAGACATAGATTTTCTTCCATTGCGTATACTAATTAAACTCTCCATGTCAGTAAAAGCCAAGCAGTGCTTAAATGGTTCATGGTAGACCAACAACATTCATGAGTGTGAAAAGAGCTTGTGTGCATTTATTTTTATTTCTGTGAAGCATGCAGGAGCGTTAGAACACGAAACCCATTAGTGGCATCTTTGTTCTTTTTATTACAACTGCACATCACAGAAGAGGAGATGACGGTGTGAGGAAGAGGCTATAGTTCATCTCCACTAGGGCCATTATTTTAGTAAACATGGAGGACCTTTATATACTGTATCTATGTTTCATACCCTATACATGCTGATGTTTCTGCCCTGCTCCACATTCCTGACAGGGACTCCAGCTTTCTTCAATCTGCTCTCAAAGCCAAAACTGCAGCCCAGATAGAAACACACCATGTCTGACCACTGATGGCTATGGTGCACAGCCTCCTGCCCTGATGTTGTCCTGAGAGCACAATAAAAAGCACAAGTGAGGCTGGTAGGATCACAAAGGTGTGATTTTCTTCAATTCGCTTGGGATGTTATTCTTGTAATGAAAAACTACTATTCAGTAAAGAGCACAGGAAAAATAGAAACAGACTAGATGGTAGTGCAGAGTTAGACATGACAGGATTTCCACTATGAATCAGTGAAACATGGCTAACCTGGCAGGAGCGCCCTTTGGTAAAAATATGTACCTAATCTTCTTGAATCCCAGCTGTCTGTGCAGTTTCCTGTGCTACAATACTACACAAGTGTGCGGTGTTGTAAGATGAATTAAGCAACATGCAAGATCCAAATTGTGAAATCTTTCAATACCAGCACTAATACAGTCTTGATACCCAGCTCGCAGGCCTATGGACATTCTCCAAGTTTCTTGGATCTGCTCTTGGGTTGTTTGCTCATTTACTAAATTAATCAAAAATTCAACCAAACCCTCATTCTTAATCATCAGATGTGGAACCATGAGTATATGTGATATTCTTAAATATAACAGAAAGCTCCAGACATAGATTTTCTTCCATTGCGTATACTAATTAAACTCTCCATGTCAGTTTTCTCTCCATGTTTGAACTCGGCCAAAATACATTTTGTGCAGCATTCCATCAATATGTTTGCCCATCTTTGTTAAAATACCTTAGTTGACTGGTGTAACTCTCCAGACTGGAAACTGTTTTCACCAGGTGACCCTCCTCATATACACAGTACTGAGAAATGTCTGTCCTGAAGACAAAAACACACATTCATCCTGTGTCATGTTGAGGTTTGTACAGTGTACAAACAGCAAGATTAAGGCACGTACAAAAAAAAAGAAAGACATCAACAGTATATGTAACAACAAATTTGCTTTTGCCTATAATTTTAATATTTATTTTAGTTTAACGTGTTTTTATTCAAGTAATTTCATTAAATAGTATTAAAGAATATTATGCATGGGGGTATGTGATCTTCTCCACGCTGCATTAGGTGGATCCATCCATCCATTTTCTTCAGCTTATTCGAGATGGGGTCACGGTAGCAGCAGGTTCAGTAAGGCAGTCCACACATTCCTCTCCCCGGCAACGTGTTCCAGCTCTTCTGGCAGGATTCTGAGGGGGTCCCAGGTCAGATAAGATCTATAATCTCTCTGGCATGTTCTGGGTCTGCCCCAAAGTCTCCTACCAGAAGACCTCCAAAGGGAGATGCCCTGGAGGCATCCTGATAAGATGCCCAAATCACCTCAACTGGCTCCTTTCAATGCAAAGGAGCAGTGGTTCTCCTCTGAGTCCCTTCCAGATGTCCGAACTTCACACCATATCTCTAAGGCTAAATCCGGCTACCCTATGAAGGAAACTCATTCAGACCTTGTATTTGCAATCTTATTCTTTCAGTCACTACCCAAAGCTTGTGACCATAGGTGAGGGTTGGAGCATAGACTGACTGGTAAATTGAGAGCTTTGCCTTTCAGCTCAGATCCTTCTTCACCATGATGGTCCGGTACAACATCCACATTACTGCGGATGCTGCCCCTCTCTGTCTGTCAATCTCACACTCAATTTGACCCTCACTTGTGAACAAAACCCCGAGGTACTTAAACTCCTTCACT